TCCAGAGAAGACGAATGAAGATCTCACTATAAGAATATTACCATCTCTTGCCCAATACATTTGATATAGTATTGAAAGGATAGAAATGAAGACTGATAAATGATCTGATAAAATGGACAAAATTACACTTTGTCATTTTCAGGGAAAATAGTGAGGCAGAAGAATTTCTTTAATTTATGTTTTGTATGCCTAAATTAGAGATGTGTGGTATTATAAGTGTAAAATAATGGTCAAGCAGCCATGCGAAGGGAATTCTGGGAAGTGGGTTTCTAAGGAAGATACTGGAAGGTTTAAACTCAAAGAATGCTAAAGGGTTATTTAGACAGGCTGACCCCAGACCTGATAACTTGATGCATTAAAGACCTTCATTATGAGCCAGCGTGGGCCAAAGAGCCATAATAAATCATTGGCAGCTACTCTTGTTTGTGCAAAAGGGCCTTCTGCCTAGTACACACCAATTTATTTACTGATAAGTGATTTTGGTATGTGGTTGGCATGGCAACATGGTAACTTAAGCATATTATAATGTGTTTTGAAATCTGTATTCTCATTGCTCAGGATTCTGTATGTTTAAAGTTTAGAGCATCCAATAAAATGTCAGCTTTGAATTTCTTTGTGAGTGCATAAAATTACAGCCATCTTGTCTTGTCTTTTGCCCAATGATCTGAATGCTAATTCCATTGGGACTTTGCCAGCAAAATAATTCTACCTTTTTAAACTACCAAAATGGTATCCTGCTTTGCCTCTATCTCTGCAAAGAACCGTGGATGCTGGGAGTTAATTTGCAACAGTTGGTTTTTCCACTACAATAGCAGTTATTAAGATGAACATCCTTTGAAGGCTTATGTATATGTTCCAAAATCTACCGATCATTAATAATGAAAAATATTTCAAGAAATGGCAGAAAGAATTGTCAAATTTTCTTTGGGATGGGAAAAGAGCAAGAATTAGGTGGAAAATAATAACAGATGATAAAGAGAATGGAGGTTGCACTCTACTTGATCTTAAATTATGTTATTATGCATCCTGTTTAAATTGGATAGAGGGCTGGTAAAATTGGACAATGAGAGACTATTGTCCTTGGAAAGTAGCAACATAAGATATGGTTTCCACGCTTACATGTGGTATGATAAATTAAGACTCCAAGGACTTTAGTCATCCTTTTATAAGAAGAACTTTATTAAAGATTAAGAATCAGTTTTATAAATAGACATGTTTATAAATAGACATGTCAACTGAAAGAAGAAGGAATAAATATCAGCTGGTTTCCATACAACCAAATTTTGGAATGATTTGAAACAGATAAAAAGTCTCCAGGATATATAACAAACAATAATGAGATAAGATATCTTTGGACAAAGAAAGAGGATAAATAGCAAAATATTATAAAAATTTCAAAAAGATATTTGGAAAACTATTAAGCATACCATGGTAAACTGGGCACAAGACATTGGGAAATCAAGTTGGAAAGTTGGGAAAAGATATATAAAATTACCAATAATTTTACATTGTGTCAAAACTATAAAGAAAATTTCCTAAAAATGATGCACCAGTGGTACATATCTCCTTCAAAGTTTAACACTATATACAGTGGAACCTTGTTATCCACTGGAGTTTCGTTTCAGTATCCCTCATAGATAACAAAATCCATGGATACTCAAATCACATTGAATATAATGGCAGAGCAAAATGGTGTCCTTGTATGAAAAGGAAAATCAAAGTTTTCTATTTGGAATTTATACCTTTTTTGGGGCGAATATTTTCAAGCTGTGGATGTTTGAATGTGTGGATAAAAAAAATCCGTGGATAAGAAGGGCTGATTGTGCAAAATAGGAAATATCAAATGCTAGAAATGCCAAAATCCAGAAAGTACCTTTTTTCCTCTTATGGTGGAAATGCTCAAAAGCTGAAAGGGATTGGAGGAAAATACATAGACTGGTGATGGAAATACTACAAATTAATATATCATTTGACCATTTAATTTTTTTATTAAACATGATGTGTAAGATAAATACTAAAAAGGAAAAAAAGCTTTTCCATATCATACTGTACATGATCACCTCTGCAAGGATCTTCTTGGCTAAATATGGGGGGGGGGGGAGAGAGAGAGAGAGAGAGAGAGACAAACTCCATCTGAGGATGAGTGGATAATTAAGGTGAGAGAAGCTACAAATCTAAACATCTTAACAGCTATTATGGGAGAAACATCAAGAAAAAATATGGAAAATGGCTTAAAATGTTTTAAATTATATGGAATAAAGAGGTTGGAACAGTGTTTAAACATAAATCTGAAATGTTTTTGAAAAATATTTCTGGACATCTTTGAATTATCATTTTATATATAGATACTTTTTTTTCTTTCTCTCTGCAATGATGAAAACAAGGGAAAATATAAAAGACAATACTTTAGAATTGACATTATTAGATAGAAATATTCAAAATATATAGACTAATTTAATTATTATATAGAATATTGAGAAAATCCAGGATCTTCAACAAGATAAAATGACTTTGATTTGGAAGACACATGATAGAAGAAAATTGACAATTCTATTTAATAACTTTTATGTTTTATGTTCTATCTTGTAATTTTATTATATGTTTGTATACATGTTTGTTTATGTAAATATATATGTATGTATGTGATTTGTATATTGTACTATATTAATAAAAAATTAAACTTCAGTTGAACACATAGAAATACAGTTTAGACATTCAAAGAAAAAGGACAAGCAAAATTCACAAAGGAATGTGAATATAGCAAGTAGAAGTTGGAGGTATGAACTATTTTCTGTGTCATCACTGCAATTCTAGAAATTTGAGGTCTGAAGGAAAAGGTAACTGAGAGGTAGAATTCTTATTTTATGGGTATTTCCTCATTTCATCTACCCTGAACAATGCCATTGTGCAAGCTATCACACTGTAGGAAGTCAGCCATGCAATCTTCTTTACATAAGTTGATTCAGTTCCCCACTCACCACTAAGTACTGCATTTGCAGACCCTCCTAGATGCAAGATACAATGGTTGATTACAACTGGGTTTTTGTAACCCTGGGTAATAGCACAATTGTGCAACGTCTGAAAAAGTATAACCATTTACACAATGGCATTTACAACAGCATAAAGCCACAGAAAGTTTTAGGCATTTATAGAGGCCTCATTAGTATTTGAGATGGAGTACAAGATGATGCTTCCCTCCCTTGTATCCCTATTTTCAAGAACTGATCAGAATAGAAGTGGAATCAATGCCCTTCACCACATCTGAGAGTTTCAGTCTAGCTTAACAGGTGGAGAGCAGTCCATCCCTGGTCTCAAGCCCCAAACTGCTAGTGTTGTCCCTCAGCATATGCTACCTGAAATGAGTACCTTACTCTTTCTAATGGCAAAGTAGACCTGCCTCTCATCTCCTCTTTCACATGAGATGCTTATTGAGAGAAATAATTTTCTGGAAGGACTTGTTTGAGAAGTTCCTCTAGCAATGAACAGAAGAGTCTGCTAAAAGACATGTTCTCTTAAGAAGCAGGGATTGTAACGAAGAAAAAGTACTAAAACGAACCCTTCCTTCTTATCATATTAGTGGCCAGGGGGCTGAACTGGCTCAGCCTCATCCCCGTGCTAATTACTGGGGAGTGAAAACTGGAGAAACATAGGTCATAGGAAGCACACTCGATCATATCTTCCTTTCCCATCTCTCATGATCAAACAAGCAAGAAAGCTTCCAGGGAAATTCAATGGTGCCATTAGCCTGAAAATTGCATCAAGATTGTATAGCAGTACACTGAAACATGTGGCACCTATGTTTTCTGACTTTCTTGGAACCCTGAAGAGAGGCTAATAGAGGTCTAAGTCAGTTAACAGTGAACATAGAACAGTGTCTACTTACACTGCCAGCCACAAAGTACAGAAGAGTTAAAGCAGGTTTGTGTTGCAGTGACATTATTATGAACTATTATGAATGAGGATAAAATGAATCAGGCAGGGAGGTCAACAGAAATATTTCTGTACTTATCCAAGCCAGCCTTCCAAGCAGCCCTGGACACTCTTTCCCTCCCCCTTTATTGACTCATTTTCCTCGTAATTTTAAATCTATATTCCCCGGAGAAGTAATGCATGGAAATTTTTCTTCTTCTGTGCTTTTAGTCAGATAGGCTCTTATTAAATTCCAATAAATCCAATATGCATGTAAATTGCATTTAAGGAATAAGTAGAATAACCATCTCATATGGACATCTGCAGAGTTAAAAGAAAATTGTTTTGTTCTGTTTTGTGTGCTATTTCTTATTTAAGTAATATTCTCTAAAGCACTAGTACAAAAGATCCAGGTGATTCATTTGCTGTGTGATTAACAGATGAGCTATTATATTTCATCTATATCCAGGTGCTAAACTCAATCTAAATTGTCCAGAAAAAAAACTGTAGATAGTCCTTCCAGCTCAAAGTGACATAAATAAAGCAGGCCATAGATGACATGGTATGTAATTTAAGTGATTGCATTCAGATTAATTCCTTTACTATGATTTCATAATAGTACAATTTCTCGTCACAACCATAGTATCACACTTACCATATTTCTTATAATTAGTGTTTCTTCTTTAATCTCTTGTCTTCACACTGTCTATTTACTGAAGATGTTCTTTCCATCATCACTCATGTCTTAATATCTTATGCTATATATTTTGTACTGTATTTTTATTGTATTTATATTTTTAACAGTACTCATCCATGCACTGTATTAGAATACATGGTAAGATCATTCCAAATTAGGCCAAAGGAATTTGCCTAATGAGTACAGGCCAGTAGAAAATATGGGCCATTATTATGATGGCAAACAGTTTTGGATAATAATACTAGATGTGGGGTTGCTGTAATGTGCTGAATAGGTCTGAATTACATAGAGCTGGAAAGTGTTCATGACTTTTTCTTGGCAATATTTTTTTCAGAAGGGCGTTGTATTTCCATTCATCTAAGGCTGAGAGAGTATGAACTCATTGGGTGCCACAGGCAAGCAGGGATTCAAACCCTGGTATCCAGAGTGATAGTCTAATGCTTAAACCACTACACCATACTGGCTCTCCCCTATCTCAGTAGGAATTTCTATATAGTGTGTAATAACCTATCCACCTATCAGTGATGCAAGAAGTTTACACTCTTCATCTTACAACAAAGTTAAACTACAGACTCCATGGCTTAAATCATCTAGCCCACTAGTTGGACTCTGTGTTTTCTCGTCTAACCCACATATTTTTACCATCTAGACTGGTGGAGAACCTGAAAGCTTGTACATTATTATGCTGCTATAGTTGGTACTTTAAAAAAGACATTTCTCTTAGATTTGCTATAATTTTTAGTGTTCATAAAAATGAAAAGTATTTCCAATTGCATTATTGAGTGTTTTCCAAAGAAAAATACAATATACATTGCACATGTTTACAGATGGCAAGAAATAAAAATGGTTTCTAATTTCCTGATCTGGCTGTTTTCTAGGGAGAGCAAGAGAAAATAAGCATTATTAGTATAGCTGTGTCAATTATTTGTTCTTTTTTCAGCTACACATGCATCTCAGTATTCTGATAAAATTCAGTTCAGAAAAATGCAGCAGAGTTTTCTTGAATTTCCTCCCATATGATTAATGCTTACAATAGATACCAGGCTTCATCTAGGCATGCCCATATGCCAGTCTAGTCCAGAATGTAGAAGTGATAGGGATCACTGAATCTTTGATTACATTGGAACTGAAGGGTTCATACATGGCAGAATCAATAGATGTTTAACCTAGGTGTAGTGCCAATGTGTCCCAGGAGTTACCATTGGACAATGAAAATATTGTTGTGGACAGTCAAGAGGGGGTTGATGCTGCCACCTATTCTGCCCCCAATTCCTGTTATGATAGGGGCTCTTTTGTTCTCTCCTTCTGGCACTAAGTGATGCTCCTGGATTGTCCCATCCTTCATAGCTGCAAATTACAAGTTGACTTTGAATTTTATTACATTAGATCTCTACTGTGAAGAAGCCAATCATTCAAACCTCATTTAAGAGTCAAGTGTATGTATAATCCTACAGTTTTTAAAATTGAGTTTTACCAAGGGCCAAGGTAAACAGATTAATTGAGCAAACTCTTAAGATTTTAAAGTAGATCACTCCTTTATGTCTCATACAATGAGCTTCACTAGGGTTCCAGGTCTGAGGTCTCCTACTTTAACGTTACAGCTGCAAGTTGATTCTGAAACACAAATTTACATTACATATATTCTGAATGTTATAGGCTCGTGATGAAGTTGCAAAAAAAATTAAAAAGCTATTTATAATCACAAAGAAAATTAGAGGTGGGGGGCAAGCACAACATGTTTTTTTTAATGTCAATATGACTTACTCCAAGCAGCTTTTGAAGTAATACATCTCTTCATTACATTGGTAGCTCTATGGGGAAAATACTCTAGAAGAAGAACATGCTAATCTATTACACCCACTTTTTAAATGTTCATTAACAAATGCTTTGACATTTGGCCTTTTATTCTAACTGAAAGCATATAACTAATGAATGTGCACTTAAGGGACCAGATGTGGGGGGAACAAACAATTTGTACAGCAATGTAAAAAGAGAGGTGATGGTTCTCTTATACAGAGAATTCTTTTGAAAAGAGAAAATGGTGATTATTTTAATTTATAATGATGCCTGGTCACACAGCTTTCTAATGAAGCTGCTTTCCATTTTCTCTCATTTGATTCCCCACCATGTTGAAAATACTCTTAGGCTTTTAAATTTATAAAAGAAAATTTGGCAGGCTCCAACTCTTTGATGGTGTAATTTTTAATCTGTTTTTCTGATCCCAGAGTATCTTTTAATGAAGAGATTAAAGTCTTTGATTTTTACTTTTTGCACTAGAGAGTGGCAACATGTGACCCTGGTGACTAATTGAGATCTCAGTTTTATTGTGTCATGTCAGATGCTAATTAGGCAAGAGAGATTTTCTTTTTGCCCCAAGTTTTATGAGGTAAGGGAAAAAATATTCACCAACAAAACAGTTTGTGGGAGTGAATTAGAGGACACTTGTTTTAAAGGTGAGAAAATCCAGAAAGAGTGAAGTACTGAAAATAAAGTACAGTATTATAAAATAATGACAACTGCCACCTAATTCATTATTGTTTGAGATTAGAAAACATTGTGTGTGCTAGAGATAGAAAGAATATTCACAATCATTCATTTTCTGTCTGAAAAAAATGGCTTTCCTGAAACTGGGGAAACCTCTTCAGTAAGAATAATACAATGTTAAGAGTTTGGTGCAGTGTTCACCCAGTATTCACATATCCTGAAGTGTTTCAGGAAATCATTTGCCACATAAAATATACATGCTTCCTTGAATGAGAATTGTGGGGATTTTCTATGCAAAAAAATAAGCAATCTTTTACAATAAGAATCTTAGATTTTAAAAAAAATGTTGCACAAAAGCAGTTTGGTGTGTAAGATTTGTATTTTGTGCACCAGATTTTTGTTTTGAAATATTTTTGTTGTAGAAACTTTTTGAGCATGATTTTCAGTGTCCAGAATTTTTGTTGTGTAAGTCTAATCTGTACTGCAGAAATAATGCAATTTGACACCAGTTTAACTGCCATGGTTAAATGCTAAGGTATTCTGGGATTTGTGATTTTGTGAGATATTTAACCTTCTCTGTCAAAGAGATCTGTTACAACAAATCCCAGGATTCCAAAGCACTGAGCCATAATAGTTAAAGTGTGATCAAACTGTTATTTCTGCAAACTGTATTATTTCTGCAGGACAGAATAAACCTAAAATTGTACCATCTCCTCCCCCCAAAAAACCAACTCAAATGGCTGTCTGGAAATAGATTTTTTTTTTTTTTACAAGAAAAACCCTCACAGTTCTTGCAAAAATCTACATATGTTTCTGAACATAAGACCTTCCCAAAACACTTCAGGAAGTGTGAATATCAGGCAAGAACTACACAGAAATATTTCATTTTACCCACAGCAAAGCAAAAACTGTGGAAATTATTCATCTTCACTTGTAAGGATGAAGGAGTTGAATATTAGCATTTCTAGCAAGCATAGATTACTATAATATCTGTAGCAGATCCATTTTGTGGTGCAAACCATGTTTCTTAGAATGTACTGAACCAGGTATAGAAAGTCCACCACCAGTTTTCTTTGATCTGTATCGGAAGTCTTGGACAGTTGGCCTGTGGACGTGGACATGAAAAGAGCAATAAAATAAAATAGCCTGTTTTAAGCATCTGAGGAGACTACATTACTTCTAAGAAGGAGATATGTGCCCACCAAGTTCTACCAACTGGATTGCTAGTTGAACTTCAGCACTGGCAAGGTTGAGGTCTTGCTTTTTCCACTTCCACTATTTGTACTTTCTACTTCACACCTGGAACATAATGTATGCACATATCCTCAGGTGGAAGATATTCTCCTGAACTCAGATGGGAAACTGGTATGTGCTAAGAATTCACTTCATGTCCCCAGGGCAGCAGGATGCCCGGGGATGTGTCTTTGCTGGTCTTTGGCACACTCACACCATGCCAAATAAAGGTTGGGGGGTAGAGCCTAGCCATTTAAAAGTAGTTGCCCCCCACCTTTGCCACATTTGCTGCCTCACTCTCCTGCCTCTGCAACAGTATGAATATACTGGTCATTTCTGGTCCAGGTAGGAATTTTCTCCCCTTTCCAAGGATTTTTTGTCTACCCCATGCTGTTATTTGGAGACATTGATAATTGGTTTGGGTGTGGTCCTAAACAGGTGGTCATCTGGCTGTTTGTGGGGGATGATGTAGTATTCAGATGAACACCTGTGGTACCCTCTTTGGGTAAGGATTACCCCTCTGAAACTGTCTCTTTATGTCATGTGACTAAAAGGGTAGGAAAAGGGACCTTCATTGGGGCTGACCTTGGATATAAACTATCACTCAAGGCCAGGTTGGCATTCCAGATGCAAGCTGGCTGAGGAGTAACCCAACTATGTGTTAACCCCAGGGCTCAGGTGTTATTCCTGGGGAAGGTGTGGGGTGGTGATCTGGGAAATAGACTGCCTGCCACAGCTGCTCCCATGCTAGGTTGCTCATTCCATTTTTCAGATCTCAAGAAAAGTATATAAATTGGTTAATTTAAATGAAGTGGCCCATTTTACAACCCTTGGTCTGGTCTCATTATTTCCAAGTTTGTCAGCAATTGCCAGTGACTCGTTTGCCTAGTTAGTTTATTAAAATATGAATTTTCTACTCTGTATCTGAATATCTCAAGGTAAAGTTCAATCTATAATTGTAAACTAGTCATTTAAAAAAATGATCTAGAAACTGTAATCCAATAGACTACAAAACAAATAATGGACATTAAACCTAAAAAGATTAAGTCAAGAGCTAATCTTTCATTTAACACTAAAATAAGGCAAGCAGCTAACAAGGATATGTTAAATATGATATGCAAAGATGAGAAAAAAAGATATGAATTAATGGGGAGATGGTTCTAAGGAGTACTGAATGGATTGTATGAATTGACCTGTCTGTCCTTTTCAATATATTGTGTGTTGTTTGGTCATGATTTGTTTTGTTATGACTGTTAGAATAAGGCAAGCAGTTTCACTAACATGCCCATGGCTGTGTTTCACAATTCATGAAGGTCTTCATGTCTCCACACAATGTATGATTCCTAGCAGTAGAGTATTATGTGTCCACTGTGTTCCAGTTCAGCTGTCAGATTCCTGGCCCAACAAACCATGAATGAGGACTGCATCAAGCACTCATGCATGCCCTTTTGTCTGTTTTCCTGCTCCGAACAGAAGTCAGCAAGTGCCCAAAGAAGCAACTGTAAGATGTTGAATGGTTAGTCTAGTCCATGTTAGAAACTCGTTATCTGAGCAAGATGCAAGGAGAAGCACAAATGTTGTCAGAAGTCCAGAAGTCCAAGTACACAAACCAGCAGGGAGTAAACAGAGTAATCTAAACATAGTCAGTTCAAGGCCAAGACAAACAGGAATGCAAGAGAGTAGTGCCAGCAGATGGGACAGTTGTTGGGAGAGAATTGCAAGAATATTTATGGGCAGTTCCTGCAAG